CGTTCCTGGCGCTGGAGGGAGCCGACCCCGCGACCACTGCGGTGAAGGCGCAGCTGAAGACGTGGTTCGAGGTCTGGGCCCGCAGCCCCGACATCAGAGCGCAGGTCAAGCTTGCCTGGCCGAAGATCTACTTCCAGCTCCGCAAGATCAGGGCAGAGAAGAGGTGGCAGGCGCGCAAGGGGCCGCTGGCCAGCCTGATTCTCCTGCTGTGGGAGGTAGGCTGGGACTCCAGGGGACCAGACGTCTGGATCGACAGGCAAGGGGACTACTGGAGGTTCAACACCGATGAGCAGGGCGGCGACTACACAGAGATCGTGGACGCGCTCCTGCAGGATATCCAAGACCAGCTGTGGGAGACGGCATCACAGCACCACAACGGCGGAGGGCTTCAATTTGGTGCGGACGTGACAGACCTTAAGAAGCACCTCGACCAGCTCGCTAAGAAGGAGCACCACGGCACGTACGGCGCGCTCCTCACGGCAGCGTGTGCAGGCACCTGGACGAGGCGGCGCAAGCACGAGACCTTCGGCGGCGAGGAGGACATGTGCGAGTGCGGCAGACCAGAGGATGATGCACACAGGATCTGGGGCCACTGTGCGGCCCGAGCCGACTGCGAGGCCATCCGCAAGACAGAGGGCCTGGCACGCAGGGCCATCGAGGGAGCCAAGGAGAACCCCGCCTTCTGGCTCAGAGGCATCACGCCCAAGAAGTGGACCACGCCGCCCAAGTGCGACACCCAACACGTCGAGCACACCGTGGGCGCCTGCATCACCAACATCAGGCTCTCCGCCAGCGACGGCGGCGAGATCACGGGCTGCGGCGACGGCTCAGGAGGCGAGTACAGCGCAGACGAGAGATACTGCCGCTGCGGCTGGGGCTGGGTGCTGCTGAAGGAGGGCGACGACACCGACGAGATCGCGGGCGCCAGATTCGGCCCACTGCCAGGACCGAGGCAAACCAACAACAGGGCGGAGCTCTTCAGCCTGATCAGCATCGTCAACGCCACGGAGGGCAAGGCCAGCTTCTGGACCGACAGCGAGGTCACCTGCCTGGGCTGGGCGGCGCGACGTGAGGAGACCACAGGGCTCGGCTGCACGAACGGGGACTTGTGGCACCAGCTGGGCGAGGCGATCCGTGCGCGAGGAGGCGACCGCAACGACATCAGCGTGCACCACCTCAACAGCCACATGACTGAGCAGGAGGCCATCGCGAAGGGCATCACGAGGCGCATCTGGGCAGGCAACCAGGCCGCCGACCAGTACGCAGACGCAGGCGCCAAGACCCACGCGATCAGCGACACCGAGATGAGCTGCTACGAGTGGGTGAGAGCGACGGCGCACCTGGTGAGGCTCAGGATCGCTGCCACCACCAAGGACGTCATCACCAGAAGGCCGCCAGACGAGAAGGAGATGAGAGAGGCCCGCCGCGCTCAGGCTAAGAAGCGACGGCAGGACACCGTGCGCAAGAAGGACCTGCTGGGGGACAACCACTCGCGGCGGCCACTCACACAACATGTCCTGGCACGAGATCGTCGAGGCACAGGATGGACGTGCATAACCTGCTGGCAGTCAGTCTCCAGTACGACGACGGCGCAGAACATCCACAGCTGGCTGACGCAGGAGTGCAGTGGCCCACCGCCCGAGACGGCGATCACGGTCACCAAGTTCGGCATCGAGTCGCACCCCACACACAAGCTGAGGCGGCTGAGGAGGCACAACAGGTGGTTCTGCGAGAAGTGCGGGGGCGCCACCACTGAGCTGATCGCCAAGAAGCTGCAGGAGCCTTGCTGCGGTCACACGGCATGCGACAGCGGACACTACAGACTACAGGGGTGGCTGAGACAAGCGGCGCGAGAGCAGGGCACCTGCGACAGGCATCGCGCACTGAGCGACCCTGAGGACGAGGAGTACGAGGAGCAGCTTACAGAGGCCAGCAGTAGCCAGAGCACGGAGGTCGACACGGCAGGGGGCACAAGTGGTGTTTCCTGGCGAAATAAACGGGAAGAGCCACCCTGCCGTCTGCGGGAGAAGTGCCGAGGCTACACTGCGGGCGCGCTGGAGGCGACCAGGAGAGCTACGACGCCTGCGGAGCCCAGCAGCCCGCCCGCCCCCCCAGCTGCAGGAGCAGACCGAGGGCCCGCGGCGCGGGACAGGGCTCGTCGGGCCGCGTCGGCCAGAGCGAGAGCGCGCTGCGAGGCAGCAGGCGCGCGGCCCGACGGCGGAGACAGAGGAGAGCAGAGGACACGGAGATCTGAAAGCGAGAGGCGAAGAGCCGAGGAGCCGATTGTGAGACGCCTGCTGGACGCGACCGCCACACCAGCACCGACGCCGCCACCGACGACAGCACCACCAGCAGCAGCAGACCAACGTGACGAAGCTGAGGCCGCACGCCGTGCCGCCTCGCGAGCGCTGCTGGAGGAGGAGAGGCGGCGCGCGGCGCGCCCGCCGCCAGAGGCGAGAGGGGCCCGCGCGGCGAGCGCCGCCCCGCCGCTGCCGCTAGGCGCGCTGCGCCGGCTGCTGGACGAGGGCGAGCGGCCCGCGGGGCGGGTGAGGACCACGCGAGGCGGAGCTGGTGGCAGAAGATGTGGTCTCCCCGCCCCGCGGCGAGAGGGCTGGGCTGCGGAGCCGCCCGCGGGCCCCTCGGCTGCTCGGCACGTCCCCTGATGCCGAGGACCGAGGCGGCCTGAGAGGCGCCGAGAGCGGCGCCCCCGCGCGCGCGCGCCGACAGCGCCGCGCGGGTTGCCACGACGTGGCGGCTCGAAAGAGCTCGGAAAGAGCTCCTCCTCCTCCCTCCTCCTCCTCCTCCTCATCCTCCTCCTCCTCCTCCTCCTCCTCCTCCTCCTCCTCCTCCTCCTCCTCCTCCTCCTCCTCCTCCTCCTCCTCCTCCTCCTCGGTATCCTCCTCCTCCTCCCTATCCTCCTCCTTCCTATCCTCCTCCTCCTCCCTATCCTCCTTCTCCTCCCTATCCTGCTCCTCCCTCCTCCCCCTCCTCCTCCTCCTGGGTCCTTCCTGTCGTTTCTATACTCTGTCGCCCTCGCACATCACGCACCCCAGCGTAGTGCGGCAGTCTGTGTGTGATCTGGGCCTCCCAGATGGGGTCCGAGTAGATGGGGTCGGAGGATCGCGCCGCGTCGCCGACGCATCGGCGATGCGTCTCGATGCGGGGCCCGATATTCTTCGCGCCGACCTCTCGATGCATCGGCGATTCGGCGCAAACCTCCAACCCCATCTGTTCGGACCCTGTCTAGGAGGCCTCTAGATGAGAAGCAGGTTCATTCTACGACACGAAAGTGACGAAGGCGTGACTTGAGATGATGATATGTTCTCTCTGTCGTTTCTATGCTGTCGCCCTCGCCATCACGCGCCCCAGCGTTGTGCGCCAGTCTGTTCGAGGTTCGAGGTTTTCGGGTGTTTTTCTTGGTTATCTGCGGTATTCTGGCCTCGGGATGCTTTTCAGCGGCTGCGTCTCGCCGAGAGCGTTCTGGGTGTCCCGCAATGTTAGTGGGGAATGGGCTTAGGGGCGGAGGGGCTTGATAGCCCACGCCGCCCCACGCTATGCGGATTTGCTTTTTGTGGTCAATCGCCGTATATCGGCGATGTATCGCCGATTCCGGGTCGATGCTCCCCCCTCCGAGTCAGTCCCCGGTTATCGTTGCCCCTTACCCCCGCGGATGGCTTCCTGGCGGGAGGCGATGGGATCGAGGCGGGGATTCTTCCTTGATCGGGCGAGGGAGAACGATGACCATGATCGAGGGGTCGCGAGAGCTTGCCGACGCCCATCTTGGTCATAGTCCATGTCGGCCGTTTCCCAATCGAGAGGATGGTCCACGATTTGACGACGACGAAGATGGACGATGACCAAGCTCGACACCGACGTTTCCTCCTTCAGTCTTGGTCATGGTGATCGTTTTCAGTCCCACCGCCTAGGGGATCGATCTTCGGGGACCGCGTCAGGTGGCGGAATAGGCATGTTTGCATGTCCAAATATGTATGTATGAATGTGTATACGTATATATATATAGATATAGATAATACATTTTCGCTGCCGACCGAGGTAGGTCCGCGAAGATCGACACCCGAGGCAACGGACATGTTTGAAACCCCGCCTCGGTCATGTGATCGTTTTCTTATTGCTTTGCCGACCAGCGCGGGCCCTTGCACCCCCCCTGTTCTTGGCTGTTTTTGGCGCCTGTTTCAAGCAGGTGGAGTCTCCCCCATAGGGCGCACTGCTGCAAACAGGCGCGTTAGGCAGAGGTCGGGAGCCAGACTCCCACCCCTCCCCTCCCCTTTCCGTCCAAGGTCGAAACGCCGAATAAGAAAACATTGACCATGGGGGGAGCTCGCTCGATACCGGCCGGCTCCCGACCACCAGCAGCGTCTTGATCCTTGAAAAGCGCCCCGCGCCGACTGGGGGGCCGCCGCGTCCATGCACGGCAGTGAGGCTGCCGCCTGCACAGTCCTGGGGTTAAGTCGAGGTTTTCGGAGTCTTCGTGTGTTCTCGTCGCGCTTCCAGCCTCGGGAATTCCACCCGGCAGCTGCGCCTCGCCGAGAGAGTTCCGGGGATGCCCAGATCGTCCCCCGAGCGGCCGCCAGAGGCGGGAGTTGTATGGCCCAGATGCCAGCGGGCACAGGGATGGGCCCAGGGAGGATGCATCAACCCCGAAGTGCCCGCTGATCGCCACGAGGGTTACGTCGGGCATGTCCCTCTACAGGAGGAGCATTCATAATTAGATAGCAAAAGAATAGTCGGGGCACGATTGTTCGACTATGTTTGACTCTTTTGAGGATTTTGGGGCTGTTTTCGATATTTCTTTTGGAATCCGCCTGTAGGAGGACGTGCCCGACCTAATCCTGGGGCCCAGGATGCTGCGCAACGGGCACAGGCATTGCGTCTAGATGCCGGCAGATTCGCGCCGCGTTGATGCGGCGGCGGCTCCGGCGCAGGCGTTCAAGGTTGGATGCCGCCAGTGGCCCACAGCTGGCCAGCATCGAGCGATGAACGCTATCAGGAGGCACCGGTCGCTCAAGGCTCAAGCCGCAGCGCTTTCCCCGACCGGCGAGTGCGCGCCCACGGGCGCGGGCTACCGCCGTCGTGGGGCGGCCGGCTAGTTTTCTTGGGCCGCGGTTCTCAGCCAGCATACTTGGCGCCACTCCGATGGGCGCCTCTGAGAGTGTTCCGATCTGCGCCGCCGGCATGAGCCCGGTGGTGCCGAGCGAGGAGGTTGAGGTGCCGCTGCCAATGGTGCTCGGAGGCCTAAAGCACCCAGCGTCGCCCGAAGTGGTGAAGGTGACGAGCCTGCGGCACCCGCTGGGAATTAAGAGGCAGCCCAGCCAGCGATCCGCTCCTGGCTGCCTAGAGGCGTCGGCCTGCTGGAGTGGCAGCGGGAGCCAGGCCGTGCCGGAAGGGCAGAGGGGCGCTGGCTGCGTGGAGGGCGGAGGCGCGCCTGAGGGCGAGGGCGCCTCTGAGAGTGTCCCGATCTGCGCCGCCGGCATGAGCCCGGTGGTGCCGAGCGAGGAGGTTGAGGTGCCGCTGCCCATGGTGCTCGGAGGCCTAAAGCACCCAGCGTCGCCCGAAGTGGTGAAGGTGACGAGCCTGCGGCACCCGCTGGGAATTAAGAGGCAGCCCAGCCAGCGATCCGCTCCTGGCTGCCTAGAGGCGTCGGCCTGCTGGAGTGGCAGCGGGAGCCAGGCCGTGCCGGAAGGGCAGAGGGGCGCTGGCTGCGTGGAGGGCGGAGGCGCGCCTGAGGGCGAGGACAAAGAGGATGCCAGCGGCAAGCCGGACGCGGTCGATCCGCCCTCGGCAGAGGTGCCGCACCAGCGGCGGGGCAGCCTGTACGTCAGGAGGCGACTCCTGGTACCGCAGCACGCCCTGGCCGCGGTCAAGACTCCCAAGGGGCGGTTCTGCTGCGTGTCGGGCTCAGGCATGATGCTGAAGAACCTCATGCAGGGACGCAAGACGGACTGGAAGAGAGCGCGCCGCGCCGCCTCCCAGATCTGCAGGCCCGACTACAGCTGCCGGGACTTCTACGAAGACATCGTCCACGCGTTTCCCGAGCTCGACCTGTACTTGGCCGGCGACACGACGAGCGGGCGTGGCGGCGAGGACGAGTACCAGCGCACCCTCGGAGCCATGTTCTCCTTCTTCTGGCTCATGCGCCTGCCCCTGGACGGGAGTGAGTCCTTCTGCTACGGCCTCGACGAGTCGTGGAAGCCCAGGGAGTGCCCGCCCGACAGCAGCCTGGAGGCCCAGGAGGAGTGGGCGAAGAGGAAGGCCTTCCACACGGACGCCGAGTGGGCCTCCCTGCATTCCCTGCTCGTCGACGCTGGGCTGCTCGCGAGTGACGACGAGGTCTCCTCCAACGTGGGGCGGCAGAAGAGCTTCCTCGTCGCCTCCTCCAAGCAGAGGGATGACCTGGCGCGCCGCCACAACACGGAGAGAATCTTGGCGATGCTCGTCCTGACGGCCATCCACGACATCATGAAGACGGTGTCCCTGCTTCCAACGGTGAGCCAGAAGCACGGGCCGTTCCGCGGCTACCAGGTCGGGGAGGTCATCAACGACCACGACGCGGCCCTCGCGTATGTCTTGGAGTTCTACCCCTCTCTGCTGCCGTCGTTCGCTGGCCTGCCCCAGGAGCAGCGGGAGACCATTAAGTTCACGCAGAGCAAGATGGAGTACAACATGGGCTGGCTCGTCCAGGCCGAGGCGCCGCCTGGCGCCCTCCTCCGCAAGTTCAAGCAGGTCGTCTCGGCGGGGCAGGCCAAACCAGAGGACGTGGCGTTTTACTTCACGCACTGGTTCACCGACCTCGCCGGTGCCGAGCCCCACCCACAGGAGGGCTGCGAGAAGTTCGTCCTGAGGTTCCCGAAGGCCGTCCTCAACCAGTTCCTTCTGTCGTTCTCCATCATTCAAAGCATCGGCCTGCCTTGGACCACGGAAACGCGCGTACTGGAGGACTATCTGGTGTGGCGCTGGGACAATCACCAGCCACCTCTTGGGCCGGCCCCGCACGGCGCGGGCGCCATCGCGAAGATGCGCCTCGTAACCATGTCGCAGGGCGACAGCCTGCGGGTGCTGAGCTGCTTCGACTGCCTGCCGCCGGCAGACAGGGCGGTGCTCAGCAAGGAGCTGTCCCTGGCGGGCTGCCGCGGTCAGGCCTTCTGGCGCGAGGGCTGTCATCATGGTGGCGCCTTCGTCAGCGAGGGCCCTGCCATTCTCGTCTACTACGCCCCCGCCCTCATGCAGAAGGCGGGTCGTGAGGACCCCCTCGGGGCCATGAGGCTTCTGGCGGAGGTGTTCCGCCAGGCGCGAAATATCTGGCCGCTGACGGCCGCCGCGGCGGACGACACGGTGACCGTGCGGATCGACACGCTGAAGGAGCTGTACGTCAGCGACATCAGGCGGTCGCAGGCGGCCTGGGTGATCGAGAAGATGTCCTCGCGGGACGGCGCCGTGCGCAGCGTCCCCGGGGCCGAGCCGTGCCGCGACCACGCTTCGCAGAGAGTCCTCCGGTTCTCATCCGAGCCGCCGGCGCAGTACGAGCCGCCCAAGACCGAGGGGTCCTCCAGATCCACAGCGTGCACCGACAGCTCGTAGTGAAGGAGGACAAGCGGAGGGAGCAGCAGCGCCGCACCAGGAGTCGGTATCCTGCACGGCGCGGCAGGGCCCGCCAGCACCAGTCTGGCCCCGCCTTTGCCGCCCGGGCAGATGTCTCGGTCCCTTTGGCACGGACCTCCGCCAGCTCCTTGGCATTGAACGGTGCCTGTTCGTACGATTGGGCGAACCAGAACAGCTTGTCCCTCTAGCGACAGAAAGGAAGTCCTCTGCCCGCGGTCGCGCAGGGCCGCCTGCTCTGCCCGCCTGCTCGCGCCCGGACGACGGCATCCGCGCGTGCCAGACAGGAAAACGCCATGCACAGGCTGCATGCTCCAAGCTCGGGGGCGGCAGAATTAACATCGCCTTTCAAGCGCAGATGGCGGCGCGACGACGTACGAAGGATGGGGCAGCCTTGGAAGGCGCACCCGGCGGCCACTGAGCCTCCGCCTGATAGCGTCTAGCGCATGACATTTAGGTGGCCCTTTCTCTCCGCTTCTCCGCCCGCCCTCGGCGTGTGGTTCAGTGTAGCTTCGGCAGGAGGCTTGGCATCGCTTTGCTCTGAAATGTACGAGCCTTTTTCAAGTTCGTGCACGGGCACGCGGCGACTCGCGTCTGCTTCTCCCATCTCCCTCCTCCCCCCTACTCCACATTTCGAGTGGCTGTGTCTTTCTATCTATCTATCTATCAGCCCCCTGCCGCTGGCAAGATTTGCCTCCCGCGCTCCGCTGGAGAGGTTTGTCCAGGACTGGCTGCGGGTTCTCCGGCTGGCGGTCCCCTTCAAGAGGGGCCGACATATTCTTCTATTTTATATGTGATTCTTGCGAACCGCTCTTCTGCGGAGCCTTTTTCCCCATATCCTAAGATGGGGTTATTGTTATTACTTGGACGCCTCCTACTCCTTCTCCTTCCTCCTCCTCTTTTCTCCTCCCCTCCTGTCGGGCTTACTCATACTCAGACTTGCTCATACACAGACTTACTCATACTCAGACTTACTCATACTCAGACCTACTCATACTCAGACTTACTCACACTCAGACATACTCATACACAGACTTACTCATACACAGACTTACTCACACCCAGCCGTACTCATACACAGACTCACTCATACCCAGACTTACTCATACACAGTATTAGTCATACTCAGACTTACTCATACCCAGACGTACACATACCGTACATCACAGACTTACTCATATTCAGCACCCCTAAGGGGAGCCGCCAGGGGTGGTTGCACGGGCTCGTTCGCGGCCATTTTGTGGGGATGTCTCAGGCGGTTTGCTTGTTTCTGTGCCCAACATCCTTCGCTTTCGGAGCAGATTTGAGGATGTCTTTTTCAGCACCCCTAAGGGGAGCCGCCAGGGGTGGTTGCACGGGCTCGTTCGCGGCCATTTTGTGGGGATGTCTCAGGCGGTTTGCTTGTTTCTGTGCCCAACATCCTTCGCTTTCGGAGCAGATTTGGAGGATGTCTCGAGCGAGGCGCTCATTTCAGCACCCCTAAGGGGAGCCGCCAGGGGTGGTTGCACGGGCTCGTTCGCGGCCATTTTGTGGGGATGTCTCAGGCGGTTTGCCTGTTTCTGTGCCCAACATCCTTCGCTTTCGGAGCAGATTTGGAGGATGTCTCGAGCGAGGCGCTCATTTCAGCACCCCTAAGGGGAGCCGCCAGGGGTGGTTGCACGGGCTCGTTCGCGGCCATTTTGTGGGGATGTCTCAGGCGGTTTGCCTGTTTCTGTGCCCAACATCCTTCGCTTTCGGAGCAGATTTGGAGGATGTCTCGAGCGAGGCGCTCATTTCAGCACCCCTAAGGGGAGCCGCCAGGGGTGGTTGCACGGGCTCGTTCGCGGCCATTTTGTGGGGATGTCTCAGGCGGTTTGCCTGTTTCTGTGCCCAACATCCTTCGCTTTCGGAGCAGATTTGGAGGATGTCTCGAGCGAGGCGCTCATTTCAGCACCCCTAAGGGGAGCCGCCAGGGGTGGTTGCACGGGCTCGTTCGCGGCCATTTTGTGGGGATGTCTCAGGCGGTTTGCCTGTTTCTGTGCCCAACATCCTTCGCTTTCGGAGCAGATTTGGAGGATGTCTCGAGCGAGGCGCTCATTTCAGCACCCCTAAGGGGAGCCGCCAGGGGTGGTTGCACGGGCTCGTTCGCGGCCATTTTGTGGGGATGTCTCAGGCGGTTTGCCTGTTTCTGTGCCCAACATCCTTCGCTTTCGGAGCAGATTTGGAGGATGTCTCGAGCGAGGCGCTCATTTCAGCACCCCTAAGGGGAGCCGCCAGGGGTGGTTGCACGGGCTCGTTCGCGGCCATTTTGTGGGGATGTCTCAGGCGGTTTGCTGTTTCTGGCCCAACATCCTTCGCTTTCGGAGCAGATTTGGAGGATGTCTCGAGCGAGGCGCTCATTTTCACCCCCCAGGTGGGCCAGATTTTGAGGATGTCTCGATCGGTTTGCTAGTTTTGGTGGCCAGGCTCGTGGGCGCAGATTCTTCTCAGGATGCCACAGGAGGCTCCAACAGGCTCCAGGAGGCTCCAGGAGACCACATGAGGTCCCAGGAGGCATCAGGAGGCCACAGAAAGACTCAAGAGGCCACAGGATGTCCCAAGAGGCTCCAGGAGGCCCCAGGAAGCTCCAGAAGGCCTCAGGAAACCACAGGAGGCCCCAGGAGACAACAGGAAGCGCCAGGAGGCCTCGGAAGGCAACAGGAGGCCCCGAGAGGCCCCAGGAGCAGGAGGCCTCAGAAGGCAACAGGAGTGGCTCCAATCCCATGTGTTTTACGTATGCTCCTATCGATTGGGCCTCACCTGGAGCACGATTCTTTGATGTTCTACGCATGTTTCTATAGATGGTCCTTCTCCTGTGTACACAATCCTAAATGTTTTACTCATGTTCCTATGTATTGGGCCTCTCCTGGGGCACGAGTCCTTGGTGTTTTACGCGTGTTCCTATAGATTGCCCTTCTCCTGTGGCTCTAATCCGCAATGTTTTATGTACGTCTGTTGCTATAGATTGCGCCTCCCCTGGGGCACGAAACCTTCATAGGAGGTCCCAGGAGGTCCCAAGAGGCTCCTGGAGACCCCAGGAAGCCCCAGTAGGTTTCAGGAGGCCCCAGGAGGCCCCAGGCTCATGCACAGAGACGCGCTCGTACTACTGAGGCTCATTCACACTCCAATTCATTCGCAGTTAGATTGATGTCCAGACCGTCACAACTGAAGCCCGTTAATATTCGAAAGCTCTTGCGCCTAGACATTCACGGCGGACAGGTCCATCCGAGTAGATGCACATATGGGGAGCTCCACGCAGTGAATAATTTTGTTTGAATTTTCTGCGCAGCATCCTCCGCTGGGCGCATCTCTCAGTCTCTTTGCCACTACGAGGCCCAGTCCAGCGGCTCCGGAGGGCGAGGGCGCAATTCTTCTCTCGAGCAGAGCCAGGCGCCGCGAGCACCGCCCGCCCGCGGCGTGCACCGGTTCGTCCGTCATCCTTCGCATCTGAGATTTGCCACAATCGATGTTCAAGCCAGGAATTCATTATTTCCGTCGAACCTAGGCAGAATGCGCGCGTAATGCTCCGTAGTTCTCTCTCTCTGGAACCTTCGAAGCCTACTCTTCCTGCTTCCCCCTCTGCGCGAGCCTCTCACCTCCACCCTCCTCGTTCGCGCGGCGCCGGCCGTCGCGCTCGCCCGCCGCCCCGGACTGTTCGGAGCGGCTGAAGGCCAGAGGCCGGGGGCGGTGCCGCGGCTTCGGGCGCCCGTGCCCAGCAGGGCCACGCTCGGTGCCCCGTGTCGCTTCGGCGTTCCGGGGCCTCCCTGCACACGACAGCGGAGGCCCTTCCGCTGGCGGGGCCCGCAGGCAGTGGGGTGGCAAGCAGTCACGCCGCCACGCGCCGGCTGGGCGGAAAACCCACGACCAGCAGCTGTCGCCTTGGAGCGCGCACGGGTGGTTCCCACAGCAGCGGATTGGCTGCGAGCGCCGCCGTGGTTCGCAGGCCGCCCGGACGACGCGGAGGGCCCAGGACCCAGGAGAAGATCGAGCCTCGATCCGACCTCGCTCCTCGACCCGCTCCTCGCTCCTCGACCCTCGCCCGATCCTCGCCGACGTCGCCGCCGCCGCCGGCGGCGCCGACCGTCGCCGTCGCCCGGGCCCTCGGTCGGGCGGCGGGCGGGCCACGGCGCAGGGTTTGGAGGGCCGGCTTCCCGTTGCGCCCCCGCGGGCGGACCGCGCCGGCAGCAGGCAGTCGCGGTTCGACGCCGCAAAAAAGAAAGGTAGGATGATCTACGCGGGGTCTCAGAAAACAACGCCACGTCCTTGAGCGTTGAGCCTGCCGTCGAACGCCGTACATGCCGTGCGCTGAAAGTACCCCGAGTCCAATATATCTTTTGTTGATGAGGATGGGTACCCTTTCCAAGGGCACCCGTGCATCCTTGCCTCTTTGGTCCATCCTTGACCATTTTCGATAGGCCGCCGCGCTCGAAAAGGCTTCAACACGGGCGTCCAGGGGGCCTGCAAGTTTACCGCGCATCTTCACTATCAGACTATCAGCTATGACTGCAGCTGCCCGTGCTGCACCATTTTACGTTGCATCTTCGGGGGACCTCGCCTGTCCCCTGCATTTGTGTCTTTTCTTGTGCCCGACGCGGGCTCAATGCGGACTGGACGCGGACTTTGCCTGGATTCGAGGCAGATGCGACACGGATTCGACACGGATCCGACGAGTCCGACATGATTTCGACATAGATTAGGCGAGGCGGGGGGAGGGGGGCAGACTTCGTAGTAGGAGGCTGCTTCTCAGAAGGCGCCAGCCCCACATCTGTAGATGTGTGGCCGGCGCCTCCCAAGAAGCAGCCCCTCCTTCGAAGGAGCCTGTGCGGGCCGCCGAAGCAAGCGATTATTCGTGGCGTCCCAGACAGCGGTGGACTTGAGGTGCCTTTTTCCTCCCAGGGTCGGTGGCTTGCTGTTTTGGCCGTCTGTCACGTTGGAGGGCCGCGGCCGCGGGCCAGTCTGTCTGTACTCCTAGTCCAATTGCTTCATGCTTCTGCCAGCGTGCTGCGCACGGCCTGCAAGGACGGCCATGGCAGCTAACGCCGCACAGCGGCATCGTGAGATCTGTCAGCCGCTCGCAGTTTTTGTTTAGGAGCTCTTCGCATGGCGTGCGGGGGCGGTTCCGGGGAGGGCCTTCGTCACCGCCCACCAAACCACCCCAGCCCAACCCGAAGGCCGCGGTTGGCCCTCCTGTCGTTGAGGGGCCCGTTGCTGGCTTCCCGGCAGCCTCTTGGGCCCTCTTGGCGATGCGGTGGCGTCGCTGTGAGAGTCAGGAGGCAACCAGGGAGGCCCGTGCAGGCACACTACACGCGGGGCATGCGGTGTGTCATTCGCCGTTGGCACCCCTGGCAGGCAGCAGAGGCAGCATCAGATTTGAGACATGTACGGAGGACCGAAATTCTCAGGGGACAGGGCAAGAGATAGAGAAGGCACGAGCCATCGGCACGACCGCAACGTCGCACTGGCCCAGCTTGCCATGGCCGGGCCCACTGGGTGCTCCATGCGCTTCCGACCACGCCCGCGAGACAAGTGCACATCGAAACTCCCAAGTGCTCGTTGCGAGGTAGACCCCAGGGCATCTCGACTGCAATCGGCGGCGGCGTTTTTTTTTTTTTTCCCGTCCTTGTTAGTGGTGTTGATTTCACACGTGAAGTCGACGAAAATCCCATCACCCGCGTCTCTTCCCTTCCCGTCTCTCCCCATCTCCGCACTCAGGCTCCGCCAGCATCTTAGATGTTCATTTCGACGGTGCTTCGAATGCTTCGAAAAATGCAAAACTATGTCGAGCGTTCGTACTGCTGGCTTCGACTTTCCAGCGAGCGCGACCGTTGTGCAACTTCTTTCCCCCAGACGGTGTATCCAGAGACCTCTGACGACTAGATGTTTGCTCCAGTCGGTGGCCCCTCGGGCTCTGGAGTCGTCGACCCTTTCCCCAGGGCACGTTTCGTGATCCCCGGCCCCAGGGCCCAGGAACGGCCCAAGACGCCGATAGTGGCAAAACGTCTCTGGCGCGATGTGCCGTGTCGCCTGAGGTCTTTGTCCAAAACCTCCCCAGTTACGCCCAGCACTCCAGGCCTCCGAAACCGCGCCAGTGTCACGACTCAGCGCGTTAACTGCTGGTGCCGAGGCACATCGCTCGGCTGGTGCATCCTGGATATTACCACCCACCAAGCCACCCCACTGGTTTGTTTTATACGTCGGGCTCATGCTCTGAGAACCTTGTTGTTGTTCTCAGAACATGATTTCTGGTTCAAGAGTATCTGGTCGTATAGGCCTACCTAGGAATGCCAGGACGGTCGGTCCCTGCTCAAGCTTTGGGCTCCGGGGCCCTTCCAAATGACCGGGGGCGGACAGGTAGCACCGCAGAAGAGGTCCCAGACATGCGACGTCCTGATTTTTTCAATGCGGGGTCTCTGTAAGTCCCGACCTTTTCCCAGGGACCGGTTTTTCATCCTGAGTCGTGTTCTGACGGTCCCGAGGCCCGGCAAGGGCCCCCCGAGGCCGAAATTGGCCAAAAATTTCCCGTCCTGATTTTCCCCACATGCTTTGTAGGGTTCTGTTTTTCTTCCCACCCGCGCCGCACCCGCGTCTCACCCACACCCGCCCTCCTCCCCTCCTCCTCCTCCTCCTCCTCCTCCTCCTCCTCCGCCTCCTCCTCCTCCTCACGCACACAGCACAGCACAGCACAGCACAGCAGACCGCAGCACAGCATAGGAGCACAGCACAGCACTGCACAGCTCAGCAGTGTACCCTGCACAGCTGTGCGTGTAGGATTCGCAGTGCATGGCAAGCGTGGTGCCTGGGCGTGGACTGCGGGACTTGTGTGGACTGTCGCAGGGCCTAGCAGACGTGGCACTTTCTCGACACCAGAGGGGGTGCGCAGGGGGTGGTCCCTCAGCGCGGTCTCTATACGCCCCACTGCCGCAGGGCCTAGCAGGCGTGGCACTTTCTCGACAACAGAGGGGGTGCGCACGGAGTGGTCCCTCAGCGCGGTCTCTATACGCGCCAATGTCGCAGGGCCTAGCAGGCGTGGCACTTCCTCGACACCATAGGGAGTGCGCTGGGGGTGGTCTCCCTATCCGCTGCGGGCTCGCAAAGCGTGGCAGGCGTGGCACTTCCTTGACACCACAGGGGGTGCGCTGGGGGTGGTCTCCCTATCCGTTGCGGCCTCGCACAGCGTGGCAGGCGTGGCACTTTCTCGACACCACAGGGGGTGCGCTGGGGGTGGTCTCCCTATCCGTTGCGGGCTCGCAAAGCGTGGCAGGCGTGGCACTTTCTCGACGCCACAGGGGGTGCGAAGGGGGTGGTCTCCCTATCCGCTGTGGGCTCGCACAGCGTGGCAGGCGTGGCACTTCCTCGGCACCACAGGGGGTGCGCTGGGGGGGGTCTTCCTATCTGTTGCGGCGTCGCACAGCGTGGCAGGCGTGGCACTTCCTCGACGCCACAGGGGTTGCGCTGGGAATGGCCACCAACATCGTTCTCACATGCTTCACTTCAGCCATCATCACGCCGCCCATAATATAAGTATGTGGGGTTCCTCGGTAGCGTAATTTCACGAGGCGACCATGTCTTGCGTCGAGAGGCCTGGGGACTCAAGGTTAAACCGGAAGTGGTGCCTCGGGGATCTCGGGGGTGTGCCGGGAGTGCGTGGGGCTGCGTGCCCGCCAGGCCGAGGCGACTTCCAGGCGTCCCAGCAAGGCGGGGATCGGATCGGCTCGCTCGAGGGCTCGGCTTCCATGCGCAGCGGGGATGGAGGGGGCAACGATAGAGGGGGATAGGCATAGGGGGGATGCATCGACCCCCAATCGCCCATTGATCGCCGATAGGGGTCTGATAGCCCCAACCCGCCCAGGAAGGTGCGGATTCACTATCGGAGGCCTGCCGCCGATCTGTCGGCGATGTACTGCCGATTCCAGGTCGATGCCCCCCCCCCCTTGCCAGTCGCCCCCTATCGTCGCCCCCCAGACTGGAGGGGGGGGCTGGTTGAGTACGAGCATTGCACTCCTCGTGCGGCTTGCCTGGTCGGATGAGCAACGCCGTGGCGCAGTTCTCCAATTGGAACAGGAGCGGTGATTGTACGGTGGCAGGGCTGGGGCCGTCGAACAACAAGCCCAGCGCTGGCAGACTGGCGTGTCCTCGACAGCAACACGGCCCGAATCCGTCCTAGAGTCCACGTCCGCGATTGCACGGAGCTTGCGCCGTGTGAAGGGCGGAGCGAGAGGAGACGGGAGACCCATGAGCGCTCTGGCGCCAAATCAGGCACATCTTACGCACGCGCCTCCCAGAGAAATGGTGGAGGGCTCTGCGCTCACAGGGGCTAAGCGGGCTGCAATGTGGACTACAGTGGAGACCCATGCCAAGAAACACCCTGCTAGCCTCCAGGGTGCCCTGCGTTTCTTGAGCTCCGACGGTTTTGCGATGGAGGGCGCGGCATTCCCACACCCAAAATCGATGGACGTCCTGGGGTCTCAGGGTTGGGCTTCTTGTAGAAGGTTTCTTGTGGACTGGCCTCCACTGTACCATGGGGGCAGCAGCCGACAGAGGGTACCAGTCGGAGACGCCACAGTGGGCCCGACCTGCCCGGGGCCGCTGGGGAGCGGGGCCGGAGACTGCGCCAAGCAGCGGGCAACAGCGAGGATGGCCACCCAGAGCGGTCAGACGCAAGGTCGCGGAGCAGCCAGTTGCCAACGGCGGCGGGAGCCTGCAGAGCCCCGCGGTCAAGACGCCGAAATAAGGACCACCTTGGGCTCAGGAGGGTCTGGTTTTCGGTCCGCTCCTCGGGAATCTAGGTCGGGCAGTCTGTTCCTGGCCGAGGCTCGCATTGGCTAGAAGAGCAGCGTCGTTCCTTTGTTGTTGAGCGTGTTTTTCTGCGGTAGCGCGGTGAACGTAGTTAGCTTGGTTCCACTGTGTCACGACGGCGCCAGAGCTCTCGACTCCTTCCCGAAGGCTCGGGGATGGACAGGAGCTCTTTAGTAAAACGTGGTTTAGTGCAAACGACCTCGGACCCAAACCTGGCGGGCGCAAGCCTGGGAAATGACGGCCGCGGCGCCCTCTCGAGAACCGAAAACGGACAATGTTTAATCGATGTGTCAGGGTGGGGGTTCTGTCCACCCCCGATAGACCCGTCGTTCTCCGCGGGCAGAGCCTGATGGCCCGCGGGGCTGGCCCCATGATCTTCGGGACGCTGGAGCAGGTGCTTCTTCTGTTTGGGGGAGGACGGGCTGGCTTCGTGCCAGACCTGCGGCCCGGCGAGGGGCCAGCACTTCGCGCCCCCCTCGCCCCACCGAACGCCCGCCGACGTGGGCACATTGTTCCCTCTGGGGCAACTTAGGGGGGGGATAGGCCCAGGGAGGGGACGTATCGACCTCCAATCGCCCACTCATCGCCGATAGGGGCCCGATAGCCTGCGGCTTGTCCACATCCAAGGCCTGTCGCCGACCTGTCGGCGATGCATCACCGCTTCCAAGCCGCTGCTTCCTCTCTGAGCAAGCCCCCCCCTCGGCACCAGCCTTGAGTCAGGCACGCCCCTCTACAGGAGGAACATCCAAAAATAGTCAAACCATAGCCTGGGGAGTTTTTTTCTCCAAAAACAAAGAGAACTATGTTCGACTAGTTGTGGACATGTTTGAAGATGTTTGACTATTTGTGAATAGTTTTGAACTTTTCTGTTCCTCCCAAATCTGCCTGTAGGGGGGCATGCCCACTCTGTCAGACAGTGGCTAAGCGCCTGGGTTTGCCTGTAGGCACACCAGCGCATGCTCTAAGAGCCGTATCGTGGCGTGCACGGTGTGCTATTCGACCATTGTTGGTTGATATATCGTCTTGCGGTAACACAGATCGGCTATGCAGATGAAATCTATGCCAAGAAGCACCTTGTCTGCCTCCAGGGTGCCCTGGGCTTCTTGTGTCTGGATGGCTTTGCCATGGAAGCCGTGACGTTCCCACACCACAAAACCGATGGACGTCCTCGGGTTTCAGGGTTGGGTTTCACGTGGAAGGCTTCTTGTGATCGAGTTCCTACTGTATGCTCTAAGAACACCATTTAGGCTCTTACAACATTCGCTTGTTCCAAGAACATGTCGTGGTAGCCTTAAGTCGGGCACGCCCCTCTACAGTCGGAATCTTCAAAAATAGTCAACAAATAGTCTGGGGACGATGGTTTGATTATTTTTTTGGCTAATTTGGAATATGTTTGGATTGTTCCCCCCAGCTCCGCCTGTAGGGGGACACGCCCGACCTAAGGGAAGTGAGAAGTGTGAGGCCTTCTCAGAAGGCTCGGAAGTCCCCCGGCCTCCCGAGAAGTTGTTTCAGCCTTCCCCGAAGACAGAGAGACGATTTCTCCGAAGGCGCGAGGGCTTCTGAAAGAGATCCCGCCGCCTTCTGAGGAAGCGTTCGCTTTCTCATTTTCTCCCCTCCGCTCGCCGCCGATGCGAACAAAACAAGCCATCGGCTCGGTCGGTGTCGGCCAGCGAGCGCGCGGCAGGGCGTGGCGGAGAAGCGCCTTGCCACACCGAATCGTTTCTTGGGGCGCTCTCTGCAGAGCGATTACACAGAGCGGCAATCGAGGAGCTGCCCCGCGAGATGGTCCCAGACATGATCGCGTCGTGAACAAATCAGGACGGGAGGTTTTTGGCTATGTTCGGCCTCGGGGGGCCCCTCGCCAGGTCTCGGGACCGTCAAAAAACGACTCCGGATGAAAAAACCTGTCCTGGGGAACAGGTCGGGACTTCCAGGGAACCCATCTTGAACAAAAAAAGACGTCGCATGTCTGGGGGGAAGCTGCCCCGCGAGATGGTGGAAAACACTGGTCAGGCCGAACATCGATCTCTGAAACAGGGGAGGATGCCCTGGCTCGATCGGGTCTTTCAAAGCTAGGCCTTGCAAGGGCCGGTTGCCGATGAGACCGAGCGGTTCAAGAAGGCCAGAAGCAGGAGGAAACAGCGATGAGAGAGGCAAGGGGGGTCTGACCGATCGAGAGTTGTAACAGCAAACCCAAGATAGACAAGTCACACATCATCCGTAACGGTGCCAAGTTGTATACGCATAGCGCACAGTCGTCCGTCAACCATACTTGTCGCAGGACGTCGGTTTGTACGTCATCGAGCTGCTTGAACAAACATGTAGTGTGAAACAAAGCATGGTGTAAGGCAACATGTGACACTCATACAATCGAACCACCTCGCGTGTCAACTAACAGCGGCCTGTGCGCAGCCGCGCCTTCAGTCTCCAAGATATCTCCATGGGGCACTTCTGGCTGGCATCGGGAATCAAAGACAATCCTATTTGTTTCGAGGGTCTTACCTTGCGGGGGAGTCTTGCACGAGATACGCATGATTTCTGGGAGTTTCGGGTATGACTTGATTTGCGGCGTCCCAGGAACGCCACTGATGTAGGAGAATGGTTACATGTGAAGGTATCGCGTTTCAACCGTGCTACCGAGGCAAGTGCATGTCCTCCAGCAGCTGAGATTGCCAGCAACCACACTCTTGGAACCCGTCGGCGCTGTACACGTTCCAGAGTGGAGGGCCGTGCAGAGTACCTTGGAATACCGTGTTCGCCATCAGGCAAGATCACGGTAAGAAACCATCGACGCAGACCTTGGCAGCAGTACGAGGCTCGAGCTGGGCAGATATGAAGTTGGCGAACCCTTTTGAAATCCCGCCGGCACGAAGTTCCGCGAGAAGTCAGGATGATCCTACCCTGTCGAAAGACCCGGACACATCGGAGCCTGGGTTCTTCTGTCCGACCGAACCTTCGCATCTACATCGATTTCCGTTCCCATGCCGGCCCACATCTCGATATTTGTTTGTGTTTTTGCCTCATTTTCGGGCCGCCGGTCCTGCGCTTCCACCTTGCCTCCCGGCATGTATCCTCGTGTTCCTCCCCCTTCTCCTCCCCTTGTCTGTTTCCTCCTCACGATTTATCTCTCCCTTCTCATTCTAACAATCCTCACCACCTTCCCCTCCTACCCTTCCCGATTCCCCAACTTTGGTCGGCGCCCCGTCCCCCCCCGCCTCCTCGGAACACCCCAAGCATCATACATAATCCCCAGATTTCCATGATCGCCCGAGGTTGCGACGGCAGACCATCGCAACCCTCGAGGCGTGCAGTTGTTCTTCTTGTTCCATGCCCCCTCCGACGAGGGGAGGCGGTGCAGAAGAGAAGGTCTTGAAGGCCTCCGTCGCACGCGTTTTTACGCTTACAATCCCCGGGTGCCGTCCGACAAGAGTTGCCGGTCAGAAAAAGGGGGAAACTCTGAGATACACCCCAATGGGGGTTACTTCGGACGCGTCCTTAGAAGGGTGGGCGCCCCCCCATCGTACATCTCAGGGTTGGGGCCCGAATCTCTCGGCTCTTCAAAAGCCCCACGAAGCCAGGGATAGGTGTCGACAGATCTCCTGTGACTCCCCCTCTGTGAGATAGCGCATGTGTCACGTTCGTATATGCACCACCCGCTGCCGTTTGACCTATAGGGACACCTGTTTTGCCATTGCGCTAAAGCGCATCATAATCACACTTGTAGCGGAACTACCACACAATCCCCGTATCGTACCACTGCGCGCACGTTTCGTCAGAGAGTGTCGCATTACCTCTCTTTACTTTCTGTACTGGCAGCTCCCCTCGCTAGGGGACTGAGCCTTGCGCCGTGGCACTTTCTTCTCTTCGCTACCGGCAGAGCGCTGACGCGGCCCGAGACG